GACCAGGGGCTACACCTAGGGATTGGGCCTGCCCTCTGCCACCCGGGAGCAGGCCTAAGCCAGCAGGTCGTTATCTCCCGAGGTGCCCCAGACTGCGAGAGGACACAGGCCGGGCTGAGGGACCCCCTCTCCCCCCCGAGTGCACAAATTTTTGTGCACTGGGCCTCTAGTCTATAATAATAAAAGTGTAATATGCTAATTAGACTAGACAACCAAACGACCTTCCAGATGTCCTTCCAGACATCCTTCTGGACAACCTTCCAGATGAAGCTGGGACTGCGAGGGCTGAGCCCCTTGCACAAATTTTGTGCATCGGGCCTCTAGTATTTAATAATCACACTTAAGGCAGGTGAGTTGATAACTGATTATAGAGATAAGTCAAGTCATCAAGAATGTAATAGCTAAACTTGCAACCTCTTTTAGAAAATTATTGACTTCAGTCCACAGGATACAGAGGAAAGTACAACCTAAGGATGGCATTAATAGAAACTCCCATTCCATCTTGTGACCCAAGTGGTTCAATTACCTACTATGTGTGTTCCAAGAGTTAAAATCTCTACCTTACTGAATGAAAGAGAAACAAAGTGGCCAACTGCCGCTTTAGCTGAGAGGAGTCTGTGGAAATCACAGCACAAGTATTAGGCTTGTTAAGTTCATTCCCTAAGTATTTGAGCAGTCTCATTTGTTTCTGCCCATCTGTTCTATCATCTTTTCATCAGAGAGCACTGTTCTGAGTAATGGGTAAACATCACTAACTCAGGACCAACAATCTAGGAGGTGCTTTGGTTTACCATTACCCATTTTTAAAAAGGTTCTGTTTGTGTGTCTATGGTGTAGTGTGCAGGTGCACAAGTTCTGGTGGACAACATGTAGGAGAGAAAGGCAAACAAAATCTGTATCCATGGGTATGGAGAAAAGTTTAAGAATATTAGTTAATATACATGATGAAAAATCTTATAATCTTGAGCCAGGAAAACATCTTGGATGAATCATTTTGCCTATTCTCATCACATCTTCCTTCAACATAGTTATATACTTTTATTAGTACATATTTTTAAATCTTCAGAAAATAACCCTCAATAGTTCCATTATGATGTTTCACAGATGGTAAAAACAAAATTTTTATCTCAAACCCTAAAATCCTTCTTTACTACTTTACAGGCTTACCCCTTTGCCTGATCTTTAGAAAAGCAGATAAAAATTAGTCGGCATTATCCTTAAAATATGTTTTTACCCTTCATCAACATAGAGAGAAAATATGATATAAGGGAAAGAACTAGAATTAAGGTTAAAAAAAGCTAAAGTCACAACTCCAACAATTACTGAGATAAACCAAGCCAAGGAAGCCACAATGTAACTTAATTTTTGTTCTCTCAGCTGTTACTTGGGACTACTGAAATATTTATTACTTACTACAAAGGCATGTGATTTCAAATGAGATAGTGGAAGTGATAAAGCTTCCAAAGGTCTATTACACTTTAAATCTTCCATCATAGAAGCCAGTACTATTCCAGCCAAATATGAATTTCTCATCTACATAATTGCATTAAAATTTTCTTTCCAAAAAAGTTGATTTTAAAATCATATCTAAAGAATCATATATAATAAAAGCCTACTATGCTAAGTGTCCAGTTGTCCAATCAAAGCGTAATATGCTAATGATATGCTAATGCCACTCAACTGCTCGCTATGACATGCTCTGACCACCAGGGGGCAGACAGTCAACTGGTCGGCCAGTCGTTATGATGTGCACTGACCACCAGGGGGCAGATGCTCCATCTGGTAGGTTAGCTTGCTGCTGGGGTCTGGCCAATGGGGACTGAGTGAGTCAGGCTGGACACATCCTGGAGCCCTCCCGTAGTCCCTCCCCGCTGGCCAACCTCCTGTATCCCTTCCCAGCCCTGATTGTACACCTGTGGGGTCTCTAGGCCTGGCCTGCACCCTCTCACAATCCAGGACCCCTCAGAGGATGTCAGAGAGCCGGTTTCGGCCCAACAGCGGAATGACCGGTTGCTATGACGCGCACTGACCACCAGGGAGAAGACGCTCAACACAGGTGCTGCCCCCTGGTGGTCAGTGTACTCCCACAGGGGGAGCACTGCTCAGCCAGAAGCCAGGCTCATGGCTGGTGAGCACAGTGGCTGTGGCAGGAGCCTCTCCCGCCTGGGACTCAAGGGTCCCAGGTTCGATTCCGGTCAAGGGCATGTACCTTGGTTGTGGGCACATCCCCAGTGGGGGATGTGCAGGAGGCAGCTGATCAATGTTTCTCTCTCGTCGATGTTTCTGGCTCTCTATCCCTCTCCTTTCCTCTCTGTGAAAAGTCAATAAAATATATTTTTAAAAAAATAGCTTAAGTGCATAGTAGATGCTCAACAGGTGTATATAAAGCCACTGTCCCAATTCAGATTATATAACAGATGCTCAATAAATGAAAATTATTGCTAATAATAGTATTTGAAGTAGTAACAATGCTACTAATCAATTATATTTTTGCTTTATTTATAGGAGAAAGAATTGGAACAATTTATTGATCATCTTGTGTACTAGAAACAACATTTGATATTATATGGAACACCTTAACACCAAAAATTAGATATTAGTTTCCCCATTTTTTTAGATGTAGAAAGAGAGACTTGAACAGATTTTATAACTTACCAAAAGCTCACAGCTCAAACCAACTTATGTTCAATTCCAAAGCTGCTCATGTCCAATTACAATCTACTTCCTCCCAAAAGTTCTAAGTTAAGAATTGTATCCTTAGAAAAACATAGCTAGTGTTAAATAAATATATATATCAGAAAGTAATCCTTCTGTTTCTACCCTTTAGCCATTTACCTAGGCTTTAAAATTTTTAACAGCTGTTCTCTCAGATTCCTAAAACACAACTATATATATAAAAGCCTAAGTGACCATTACAAATGGTTGACTGAACGACCGGTCGACCAGTCACTATGACACACACTGACCACCAGGGGCAGATGCTCAATGCAGGAACTGTCTCCTGGTGGTCAGTGCACTCCCACAGCACCTCCCATAGTCCCTCCCCCCAGCTGGCTGGCCCCGATGGCCCTGATGGGCCCCAATCACCGGCCAGGCCGAGGAACCCCATCTGTGCATGAATTCATGCATTGGGCCTCTAGTTAAGGGATTAAAGAAAGTGTTAGTTTTATTGGTTAAACAGAGCTTTCGTATTTTGATTTCTCTAACAAATATAAAGAATTATAGTAATAAATGTAATTAAAATTTATTTCATTAAATAATTCCATTACTGTATTAAAATGCTTCATTAAGAACGGCATTTTTAACACATTCTAATGTATGTGAACTCTGTTTTGCCATATGTCAATATTGTTCTACTAGTAATTATATTCCAAAAATGCTTCTCTCTCTAAATAGCTCATAATTATTTAAATAATTACATAATAGAAACTGTCCTTGGAGTATAGAATCCTATAATCCTGCTGCTCTTTTAAATATGTGCAAATATTGAGATTGGGAGGCACATTTAAAGCTTTGAAGATTATATCAGGACTATTTTCAACAAAAATGACAAACTAAGGTCCAGTAGTTTTAATTACTCTAGTATCATCTTTATGAAGTTGTTGTTTTTCTGTTTACAAATTTTTCATATTTGTGACAATGTAAAGATATTTATATTTGTTACTTAT